GCAAATCCACAGGAAGGTTCGGGGCCTGTCATGGCCTTATCTGAACCTTCTTGGGCCAATTTGTCGGCCTTTTCTTTGTCCTTATATCCCTCGTGGCCTCGCACCCATGCTAGGGTAACCTTGTTTTGACTAGTTAGCTCTGCTAGATCTTCTAGGCAGTCTTTCACCAGTCGTGATGTGATTTCTGGTGAGATAATTGCTTTTAGAGCTGCCTGAGTAGATGGCAATAGTTTTGCCTAATACTTGCTGATTTAATAATTCTCTTACTTATTAGTTCAGCCTATTCTTCTAGACTCAGCGAAATTGTTATTTTCGACTTGGTTCCATAGATTCCAGCACCGGTTTCTTCCTTGTTTTTTGAATCGTCTGTATACCAGCCTGTACGGGAGGTCCCTGTTTCCAGGATTTTCGGGCTTATATTTGAATTTGAAAGTTTATTTTAAATTTATATGTGGTTATGGCTATTACAGTAGGTGTTTCTAGAATCTTATTCTTTTTTACCTACTGATATATAGCCTTTTATGGTCGGCGCTATATAGTTGGCATATAGGATTTTGTCTCTGCATTAGCCTGTGAATAATGGATCTGGTGTCTTCTTGTATGAAGATGTTCAGTGTCGAGAGGTTTAATAGTATCTTAATTGATACAGCTGGCGTAGTATGCATGTCCCCAGTGTCACTAAGACAGGCGAGCCGCTAAATGCCGGTGAGTTGGCCTATTGCACTTGCCTGTGCCATTTTGGTAACTCACGCCACTGCGCCATAAGTTATCATGGGTCTTATATTTCTCCTTGTAGACAGCCCCGTGTAACTATTGCTTATGTAGGTGCCTTTCCTAGAGTGAATAAAATGATCCCGTTCTCTGGACTGGCAGTGATCCATTGGCATATTGTAACTGGGAAATTATTGTATTCTAATATATTTTTATACCAATGTTATTTTACCGTTATTATTCTACGAAAATAAAATTATGCTCAAGTTATTTTATTCACGATTACAGTTTAACGGAACAGTACTGTCAATAAATAGAATTATTACGCCATCTGTTGAACAAAAGCACTAATATGGAATACTACTCCATCTGTTGAACAAAAGGGTTCTTAAATATGAAACATAAATGACATCTATCAAAATTTGTTAGCGTTACGAATATTGGAGTGTACTACTGTGACCTTAAACGTACTAAATGCGATGGCGATATCTAAATTTACTTTAAAAATCGTTAATATTGCTTTAGAAAATATCGACCCATTCTGCCCCTCCTGAATTATCTGTGGTAGATATCCAATGCGACTACAAAATAAAATTGAGTTTTAAAGGCAATACAGTGTTAAACACAACTGAGATACAGAGGTGTATTTATCTTAAGTGCGACACACTGAATAATTATAATAATTGTTGTCAGAAAAACGTATAAAAGTGGTATTATCACTGACACACTAGGTAAGTTCGAACAGACAAGTTCCATTTACTCCTTTAACTCTTTGAACGACCCTTTTAGCGATTAAGTCCAATTAATGACAGTTCAACACACTTAAATGTCATTTAAAAGCACCCTAAAAAATTCCGCTCCTGGCAGTTCCAGCCCCTGGCTAATCGGAAAGCTACTTATACAGTATCTCTATTGTGTTATATAAATGTTATCATATGCCTTTTCTAGGCCAATAAATAAAAGCCAAATATGTATCTATGTTGGTGTATACAGGGTGTTTATGAATTGAGTGCCGATACTTAAAGGTGTGAATCCTTAGGTGATTTTAAGAAGAAAAGTTAATATCAACATATGTTGTAACTCACTTAATTTTTGAGCTACAGGGTGTTACAGTTTTAAGAAAAAAATTACTTTTTTATCATAATTTTTTTATCACTCCAGATATTTCTATGAAATTTTGTACACACGTTTTAATAATTAAGGAGCATTAAGATTTTTTTAAATTTTTACCAGTGACGTCAGTACGGGGTTTGAACTGAATATTTTTGAAGAAAAAAATGGTACGCCACTGCTTTTTCTGAAAACCAAAATTATTTTTGAAATCATCATTTATTTTGGAGCCAACTTGGCTTATAGACTTACTTTCGTACGATGCACCGTTTTCGCGTAAAAAAATAAAAACCATTGTAGTGGTTGGTCAAATTTTTTCCTTAAATTCATTGATACCTACTGCTTTTGATATTTTGTTGAAATCTGGTAGGCACCCACCATGCGTGGAAACATTTTTTTGGGACAAAAATTAATTTTCTACGTTTTGAATAGAAAAAAATGGTAAGCGCATTATTGCCCTCTTAGAGCAAATGAAATAAACAATAGTAGGCTAGAGAAAGCGTCATCATTTTTGACGTTTCTTTTCATAAAGACAATAAAGTTGACATTGATTTTACATTATTAAATAATTATTATTAGAGTAAGAGTTAAAATCTGAAAAAAAATTATAAATTTTACGAACAGTGAATTAGCTGACATGCATTTTAGTTAGACGGAAATGCATACGAAGCTAGACGGATATACCAAGAGCGGTATCCAAATCGCGTACTACCCGATCCGAGAACATTTTCTAGGATTCATAGACATCTTCACGAGACCGGAAATTTAAAAGTAGACCACAGGGCTAAAGGAGTCCATCAAACAGTAAGAACACCGGAACTTGAAGAAGGAATTTTACATGAAATTGAGGAGAACCCCGAAACTAGCACGAGGAGAATCGCGTTAACATTTAATGTTTCACATGTACTTGTTTGGAAAATTCTCATCGAAAATTTGTCATACCCATATCACATTCAAAGAGTCCAGGCATTACTCCCTAGAGATTTCCCGTTGCGCATTAATTTCTGTGAGTGGTTTCTTCAAAACCTGCTGGAAAATCCATTATTTGACAGGCACATTCTTTTTAACGATGAAGCTAATTTTTCTCGAGACTCAATAATAAATTTCCATAATAACCATTTATGGGCGGATGAAAACCCTTATGCAATTGTTGAGTCAAATCATCAAGAACAGTTCTCATTAAATGTTTGGGCTGGCATTATTGATGATTATTTGATAGGCCCATTTTTTCTCCCAAGAAGACTTGATGGACAATCATATTTACACTTCCTTGAAGATGATCTGTCGCCAATGCTTGAAGACCTTCCTCTTTTATTAAGAAACCAGATGTGGCTAATGCACGATGGTGCGCCTCCACATTTTAGCTTACGAGTGCGTGAATTTTTAAATCACACCTATCGCAATCGGTGGATAGGTCGCGGAGGAACGCAGTCATGGCCGCCTAGATCTCCTGACAGCGTTGCCAGATAAAAAAAGAAATATATGGTATCCGACACTTAAAAAAATGGTATTTTACTAACAAAAAATGGTATCTTGAATAATCTTGATAATACCAAATAATAAAGTTTTACACAAATAAAAATCAAAAGTATAATTTTTTTATTTTAAACTATGATTTAATTAACAAAGTATTATAAGAGCCGAGATTAGAGAACAGACGGTAGGGTCATTATAATCTTGCTGAACTGTAATAATAAAATTGTATATACAAATCTTTTAGTAATTTATAACATATATTATACAATGAGGGCGTATAGATCGGAATAAATTCGATAATTTTCTGTCTTATAGAAAGTATTTTAATAAAATCCTCTCACTTGTCAATTTTTTTTATTTTCAACTGCACATCTTTCGCTACAACGTCATCGATATTTTTTTAAATAGATCACATATTTTTCTTTTCATTTTTGAATTCCCCGATAAAAGATACATTTTTGTAATCGTCTATTATTGGGCGTATTTTAGTAGAGATGTGAGCCCATTCTTGTTACTTGTTAGTATAGATTAGAGATATAATGAATTAAATGAAAATCAAAAAGTTAAAAATATGGTAGTAAAATGGTATCAGTACCTAAAAAATGGTAAAAAATGGAAAATGGTATCCTCAAAAACTTGCAGGTATCGTAGTAGAAAAAATGGTATAAATACCATAAAAATGGTATACCTGGCAACACTGTCTCCTGACCTTAATAGTTTAGACTTCTTCTGGGGGCATCTGAAAAGCTTAGTGTACGCAGTGCCAATTCAAACCGAAGAAGAGTTACGAAATCCTATAACAGTCTGCTGCAAAACCATAAGAAACACCCCAGGAATCTTTGAAAATGTGCGTCAGTCTATGCGAAGAAGAGTAGATGCTTGCATACGTGTGGGTGGAGGACACTTCCAACAATTACTGTAAATAATTTGGGTTCTTTATTTTGTTTGTATTCTCTTGTAATTTCGTTTTAGATTCAATATTTTGAATTTTCATTTTACTATAAATAAATCCCGATTTTTAAAATACATAGAATTTAAAAAAATCAGAGGTGTACGTTTTTTTTTTTCTATCCAAACATTCAATATGGTGCCTACGTGGCCGTCACTGGTGGAAGTAGAAAATTAATTTTTGCCCCAAAATAAGTGTTTTCACGCATGGTGGGTGCCTACCAAATTTCAACAAAAAATCAAAAGCAGCTTAAGAAAAAAAAAATTTTGGTTTTTATTTTTTTACGCTAACACAGTGCATCGTACGAAAGCAAGTCTATGGGCCAAATTTGCTCAAAAATAAATGAATATTTCAAAAATAATTTTGGATTTTAGAAAAAGCAGTGTCGTACCATTTTTTTCTTCAAAAATATTCAGTTCAAACCCCGTACGGAAGTCACTGGTAAAAATTTAAAAAAATCTTATACGTCAAAAAATGCTCCTTAATGATTAAAAGGTGTTTACAAAATTTCATAGAAATATCTGCAGTGATAAGAAAATTATCAAAAAAAATATATTTTTTTCTTAAAACTGTAACACCCTGTAGCTCAAAAATTAAGAGATTTACGACAAATGTTGATATTAACTTTTCTTCCTAAAATCACCCAGGGATTCACACCCTTAAGTATCGGCACTTAATTAATAAACACCCTGTATATTTTTTTCCAGAATAGTTAAATTTTGATAGTTGTATTTAAATGTTTCCGTATTTTTAGGCTGTAGCTTGTTATACTCCGAAAATCCTGTGGGACGTTTCGGAAAACAACCTGATGAGGACATTAGTGATGGGTCTGAATGTTGGAGTTGGACGAGAGAAAGAAAAGAATGAAAAAAAGGAAATTATTATGGGCTATCTCCTGGATCATGTCAAAGTAAGTTTATATATAGTCTTATCTATTCGTATTATAAATTATTATAAACAACCTCTTAAATGGACCATAAATACTATTAAATTTATTGCGATTAAGAAACGTGTAATATTTTTTTAATTACAAAAGTTGCCATATACGAAAAACTAGGACAGCATTACTGCAAATAAATCTCGTATTTCATTATCATTTTAGATTAGTTTAATCTAATTTGGTATGGTATTCTCATTATCTTAATAGCATCATTACATTTTAAAACGATTTTGTCATAGTTATTTTTTACAACAATTAAACACTATGTGGGATATTGCTTAGGTGAAAGTAATTTGGTTCATATAAAATTCAACATTGGTAACTTTCTACAAAAGATTTTATTTTATTTATTTATTAAAAAACTCTTTTATACTTCATACAATATAAAAACCAATGCACGTCATCGTTGATGTAATAAATTTTAGACCGTCATAGCTCCATACCGTTGCCAAATTTTAAAAATAAATCTTTTAAAGTTCCGACAATTGTAGCTACAGAAAAGAAAAGCTTTCTGATGAAACCAAATCAACCTCTTAACAAGCCATCTAAGAAACAACCCCTAATTTAATTTTTTTCTGAAAATGTCGACGATTATTACATGATCGAATATTTTTATAAACTCCATTAGTACTTACAAAACAAAAGTCTTAAATTGTATCAATGCTTGACAATTTTGCTTTAAATTGTAATAAAAGTTCTATAAATAGATTAATATTTTGCAAGCAGTTACAAGTTTTATGTAAGGACAATTTTGCATATTTTACATTTATTGCAGGTCAGGTATCCATTTTGAAATTAATATTGCATTGACATCACTTTCATCAAGCTTAATCTCACGTTTGAATCTTTTTATATACTTGTCACTGACCTTATTTTAATATTCAACAAATAGAACACGTGCAACGAACAACAATAATACTAATTTGTTGCATTTGTCAGTGTTGTAAATGGATAGTAACTGCACTAATCTGCATTTTATCAATTTTATCCTCAAATTAACAAAACAAATAGGTAAAAATACCCTTCATTAGCGAGAGAAAAGTATAACAACTTATAAGAAAAATATTTTATTTAACAAGGGTTAAAACAACAAAAAACAGGTTTTTTATCATTATGGCCACAGTACCACCCCCAATATTCGTAACATGAACTAATTTTGATAGATGTCATTTATGTGTCATCAATTAAGAATCCTTTTGTTCAACAGATGGAGCAATATTCCATATTTAATAGTTCTTTTGTTCAAAAGATGGCGTAATAATTTTATTAATTCTAAACGGTAACTGTTATAAAATAACAAATTCATCACCACTAGCCACTACGCGATGAAAATTAAACGAGTTGTTGACCTTGTTAATATTTTCGATGTAGCCGGTACCTAAATAAAAGTTTTGGATTAGATTCGGCACATCGGTATACTTATTTAGTAGTTCATTTTTGTGCCCAGTCAACAAAGGACAAAGGTCTTCGCATCATTACGTAAGGACCTATTATACTATACATGGTGTTTCGTTAAGAATGGGACATAGAACAACTGACGATTCTCTGATCAAAAATAAGACAACTAAACAAATCATGCTTAGATAAAATGTTTCTCGCTTCCGAATTACGATGTTAAATTCCAAAAAATATTTATGGCTATATTTTTTTTATTACTCAACAATTTTACTAAATTTGGCAAACGTTTTTGGTGTCATAATATCCACCTATCAGCAAAAAAAATAAGTTTTTTCAGTGGCGTACAGCATTGTACGTAATACCGCATCCCTCCTAAATTTTACGTCACTAGCCAAAAAGTTATTTGGACAAAAAATTTTAAATTTTTTCATGTTTTTTCAATAAATAATGTACTCTTCTTAGAAATTTAATAAAAAAAATCGAAATTTAAAAATTTCAGAATTTTCAAATATGTGCGAATATCTCAAAAACTAACTCAACTTTATTTGAAAAACATCAAAAGTTTTTGGACAGTGGACTAAAATTTAGAAGGGAAAAAGATGTTACTTGCTCATGACGTACGCCATTGGCAAAGCTTATTTAACTTATTTTTTTGCTGATACGTGTATTTTATTACACCAATATCGTTTGCCGAATTTAGTAAAATTAAACTAAGTAATAAAAAAATTGTAGCTATCATACTTTTTGATTTTCAGCTTTAAAACCCTGTTTTTCGGAAACGAGTAATGTTTTACCTACGGATGTTTCGTTTAATCGGCTTATTTCTAATTAGTTAATCTTCAGTTGCTCCCATTCTTAATGGAATACCCTATATATACCGAAAGGTCTTACAGCCAAAAAACCAAATAAAAAAAAAGAAAAATGTAATAAAAAATTGTTTTTATCACCTTAGGGACACACAATACTTTATTTAGATCTGCATCACTAAAAATTATTTTCAAAAAATTTAATCTCATTTATATGTAAGTTGGCGGGCATACGGAAAACTTTTTTAAGAATTTTAAGAAAAAAACTTATTTTTCGTAAACAATTGCATGGTCTAAAACCTAAAATTAAATCATCTGATATCAAATTTTCAGTGGTATATAGGGTTTGTCGAAAATAAAGGTATTTTATCTTGAGCAAAATTATATTTTTTGACAAACCTTGAAAAACCGACTGATAAAATTTGATATCGGGTGGTTGCATTTTCTGTTAGACCATGCATAATTTTTTTTATGAAATTAGAGAATGATGCAGACCCCAAATTAAATTATCATAATTTAGGTAGGTTTACAATGATTTTAATTTTTTTTAAATGTAAAAAGATACTAAGCTAACGAATAGTGGTGATAGAACTGGATTATTTTATACAGAGTGTTTTGAAAAACAAGTCTTAAATATGGCTAATTCCAAGTTAAATGTATTTAATTTTTTTCAAATGCCACACCCTGTATATTATTTAAGCATACAATTCCTTGAAAATTTACATATCCAATGATACCAATATGTTAGTCAATAACACATATACAGGGTGTCCCATGAGTGCGTAATTGATCGATAGCAGTTTTATAATAGGAAATCCGAAAAAAATTAATATAAAAGTTGTATGACCATATTTAACAATTATTCATAAATATACAGGGTAAACCATAAACGATTGTATGACCAAACCTATACATTTTTAAAGCAAAACACACTGCAGGTAGTTATATATATTTGATTGTTTTCACATCGTCGAACAATAATTTCAATTTCATTCATTTGCTATGTTGTATATAGGGTGTGTCAAAATGGTTACGATTTTCTCAATTTTCTAAATGGAACAGCCTGTATGTTATGCCACCAATTAATTAATACAGGGTATTCCATTGAAAAAAATTTAAACATTTGTAACCTCGCGTGTTGACATACCTTATATATAACATAGCAAATGAATGAATGAAGTGAATTAAAATTATTTGACGACGTGAAAATAATCAAATATGTATAACTACCTGCAGGATGTTTTCGTTTAACAATGTATAGGTTTGGTCAATATCTCGTTTATGGACCACCCTGTATATATAGGAATAATTTTTTAATATGGTCATACAATTTTTTGTTATTAATTTTTTTTCTTATTTACAATAATAAAACAGCTATCGATCAATTGCGCACTGATTGGACATTCTGTATATATGTTATTCTCTAACATATTTAAGACATGTTTCAAAACACTCGCTATACAAAATCCAGCACTATCACTACTATTGATTTTCTTAATGTGCGATAAGTCAGTATATTAAACAATTTTGAAATCAATGTAATCCTACCTAAATTATGATCATTTAATTTGGGGTCTGCATCATTCTATAATTTCATAAAAATTTAATTGCTTGGCAGACCTGTAATATTTTTTTAAATTATTCTAGGGTTGAATACAGTATTACCAAACCATTCTAAAATTGAAATAAAATACATGTTCTATTTTAAAAATGTGCCAGGCATAAATGTAACACTCTGTATATCCAAAAATATTTTTAAAATATGTATTTTTCAAATCCATATAACTTTTCTTTGAAACATGTTTGCGTGTTTTTAACACAAATTAAAATATTGAACAATTACGCACTAATGGGAGATACACATGGGTACATACACATAGCAGTCAACGTGTTAACTCAGAAATAATATAAAATAATATTTAGAAGAAGAAAGCCAAGTCCGCAAATATTACGAACATATCATGCAGTGATGCCAGGTCATTTGGATTCAAATTACATCGGAATGCAATAAAGTTCCTCCCCTTTCCTGAATTTCATTGTATATTTCACCCACTTTAAAATGAAATTCGTCCTAGAAAGAATTGAGAAATTATCGTATAAATCGATAATCTGGCAACGTGGCCAACACTTGTTCATATACAGGGAAAATAAATCGATAATTTTGTAGTCAGAACCAAGCGAGACAAATATATATGAAAATCACGAAACAATAAAAGACGGCATATAGCTAAATTACTGATTCAAAAATTGGTAGCTCTAAACAATCATTCACCTATTAAAACCATCTCTAAAACAGAGTAGCTACATTGTTTTTTATGATGACATCTTCTTAAAAATAGATGAACTACACAATTACAGGAATTCATAGAAAATCTTTAATTTGACAAATAAATTTGTGAAATATTTGTTAATCGTATTTCCACTTAGATTTGAAAAATACGCAATAAAATTTAGAAATATTTTGGCGGAATACTTGGAAAAATATATAAAATGAAATCTACTTTTTAGCTCTGATTTTAAAATCACTTTTTATGATTTTTTTTTAAATTTAGTGTACAAATAGAACAAATAAAAAATAGGAGATTTCATTCTCTAAACCTTATGCTTTAAGCTGGTATAAGATTCATTTAAATACATTTAGCGGGATTTAAATGCAATCGGAAATGGTGAACCCTTGCTTCTTATATCAAAAATACAGTGATACTGCGGCCTTAATCCAAACTTCATTAAGTTTATTTGGGAATCTTGTAATAAGCGACATTAAAC